TTTGCATTGCCACCATGACCAAAAGGTCTGTTACTATGTATGAACTACTAGCCCAACACCTGTGCACCATTTTCTCCTCCTGTCCTGGGGTTTTGCGGTGTATGGAACACAGGACCTAATGTCCCAAATAAATACTAAAACAATTTAGCAAATTAGCTGTTCAGCAGTAGAGGGTTCTCAGTCTATACGTAAGTAAAATTTTACACACTTTAGCCTGGGGTGTCAAACTTGTTTAGGTTCACAGGCTGCATGCAACCTTGTTAAATGTCAAGTGGGCCAGACCAGTACAATCATGACATAATTAGCTACAATTAACATTAACTCCATGTTTTTTATTTCTTTATTATAATAGATATGTATTGTTACTACTTTATATTTTAAAAAAATCAATTATCTTAATCATTAAGTGTTTGTCCAATTTCAAAATTCATCAAGCAGGCCAAATTGAACACTGTAGTGGACCGGTTTTAGCGTGTGGACTATATGTTTGACACCCCTACTTTTAAAGAAAATTAATCTTGAAACATCACAATAAACAACAGGTCACATTTATTCTGTGAAATGTATTTTAATTTGTGTATTGTAGTTTTTGTAATTACAGAATATCTGTCATCACGTTGTCAATTTTCATCATTTTTGATTAACTGAAATTTTAGGTCTTATCTCATCTGCAAATACTCACCCTGAAAGGAAAAAGTTCAAGGATTTCTCAAACACCAATTTATTCAAATGAAATCCACTCTGGATGTAACAGTCAAACATTCAGCTACACTTAATTATACTTTGGTTTTTATGAGTGTTGCTGTGGGCACCAGCTTAATTATATCATCTTCAAACTGAAGAATCTTTTTTTTTTCCAGCTACTGATATTGTCTGAGCAAGACTATGAATTTTATTCCTGCATTTTGATTGGTGTGTGGACATGTGAGGTTGTCAGTGATGTCAGCAGTGGCCTGGCTTGGGGTTAACATGTTTTGTCAGTAAAGGAGGACCTGTATAAGTCTGCAGTGTTGGTTTTTCAGTGAAAAGGTTAATGCACCATTATGCACCAATACACCATTCCCAGCAAAAAAGAGAAAAAAATGAATAAACAAAGTTCAGTTAGGTGTCACACCCTTGTGACATGTGAATGTATATCCAGCATAATGTGTTTTAAGGCTGTGCTGCAGTCAGAGGCGTCTGACAGGTGTTTGAGAGTCCGGTGACATATGGAAATCTCTGACAGCTGCATGGAAATGTGGCGTGTTACCAGTGACACTGTCATTTACACTTTTGAGACATGGCACTGCTCTTGTGTAGGTGGGATTTGACCCTCGTATGTCATTCTTATAAATGTTCTTTATTTTATGACATTTTTAGAAAAAAAGATATGTATAAAGTATGTCTCAGTACATGTACGTATAATATATGTATGCGTGTGTATACAGTAGCATATGTGTATTCCGAGCAAGCCTTCGAATAAATTTTTGATTTGAGATATGAGCAAAGATTTGAGATACGAGCACGCTTACAGACGCCAACTCGAACTGATTAATTTTTTCCTGTTTTTTTTTTTTTTTTTTTTAAGGGAAAAAATGATTTGCGATACGAGGACCTCGAGTTACGAGCTCCGGGGATGGATCTCAAGGTATGACTGTATATGGATGTATATAAATATGTCTAAATGTTTTATTTAATACAATACTGATTGCTTTTTTGTTTTCCAAATTGTGATTTGTTATAAATATATGTATATATGTATATATATACATGTGTTTGTATATGTATGTATAT